GTATTTTGAATTTGATTCGAAGGTGAACCGGAAGCCAGTGTAGGGAGGCCAAAACAGGTGTAATGTGCTCTCTTTTGCTTGTGCTGGTCAAAAACCAGGCTGCTGCATTTTGGACCAGTTGGAGTCTAGCTATGGAGGTCTGACTGATACCAAAAAGGAGTGAGTTGCAATAGTCGAGCCTGGATGTAATGAATGCATGAATTACTGTCTCCAGGTTATTTTTGGACAATATGGGCTTCAGCTTAGACAGATGCCTCAGCTGGAAAAAGCAGGATTTAACAATCATATTTACATGATTGTTGAGTTTCAGAGAAGGGTCAAGTATCACTCCTAGATTAGTGACTCTTTGTTTCACTAACAGTGACAGAACGGATAGGTCGATGCAGTGGTTGGTGATTGTGTCATTGGGAGGAAACAGCATAACTTCAGATTACTTAATGCCCCTCCACATGCTCTGAGGGTCTTGTGAGGTGAACTGACCCTCGATCCTCTGTGCATATGTGGCCTTGACCCTCTTAATACCAGCAACCAGATCTTTCCTTGTCGATCACATCCCAACATAAAATGGTCTTAGTTTAAATCAGTGTCATGAAAAAGCAGTAGGTGATATGCATCCCTTCCATTTAACACTAATAATCAGCACATATTAAAATAAATGACATCAGTTTCTGTTCAGGCCTAAAAATGAGACAAATACAATATGAACATCAACAAATCCTCTTGGTTATCATCAACTGTCACGGAGTGAAGAGAGGCATTGGAAATTACCCTCTGTCCATCCGTGCATGTTGTAGCATAACTTGAAAAACAAGGGAGGTACCAACTTCTATTTTGGCGTGTGGCTGCATCGAGGTTCTTTGAAAGGTTCCTTTCCAAAATTGGGGTGCAACATGAAAGTCCAAGATGGCTACACCTATAAAGAATAAAATAAGTGTGTGTGTGTGTGTGTGTGTGTGCTTGTGCTGTGTGTTGTGTGTGTGAAGTGACCACCCCAATCATTTTGCTTGTAAGTATTGTTTACTCAAATGACTGGGATGGCTGAAGATTAATTTATGGGGGCCAAGCCCACCATTGTCCACCCCCTGACTCCACCACTGCTACTGATGGTTGATAAAACTGCTGGCTCCACCTGACAGGAGCTGTCACTCAAAAAAAACAAAAAAACAACTTTCCTCTGTTCTTCTCCACAGTGTAACTCCTACCTACTTGGATATCTTGCGGCAAAAACATTTGGTTTATATAGTCTCTGTTCAATTCCAGTCTAGAAAAACACTCATCATGAAAACTACAAGCATTCACTGTTTAAGTCCCTCAGAGACAAAGACATCAACGTAGCACTTGTTAGTTGTTAAAGCTACACAGAACTCGAGTGGAAACTGATCTCAGCCCTTTTGCTTCTGTTAGCAGTGTTTTTATTTTTTACCTTTCAGGGCCGACTCCTAAAATAAAAACAAATAAATTAATAAACAATAATAATCTTGGCAAATAAGTTGGAATGTTGAACATGTGAACTCTGCCCTATGAAGTACGAAACATCATGTCTCTGTCACTGCTCAGAACTTGTCTGAAAACATATCTTTAGATCGATTGTATATTGTTTATCTGTAAATAAAGTTTGTTTAAAAAAATCTCTTTAGATCAGACCCTCTTGCTCTGCTCAGGTGAACTTCTGTTTTAATTCAGTTCAGTTTATTTATATAGCACCAAATCACAACAAAGTTGTCTCAGGGCACTTTACAGGAACGTTCACATACATAGAAAAGCCAGTTAGTAAAGTTCTCTATCTAAGGATTAATGGTTGGTTTAATTCTATTAACTCTTATTGTTGCCCTGTTCTTCTGCACTATCATGGTTTTAGCTCTACAGTGTCCTGAAAGGTGCTTTTTAAATTAAGCTTCTTGTTGTCGTTGTCGGCGGCGGGAGCAGCAGTCGTTGTAGAGATAGCGGTGGTGGGAGCAGCAGTCATTGTCGAGGTAGCGGTGGTGTGAGCAGCAGTCGTCGTAGAGGTAGCAGTGGTGGGAGCAGCAATCGTCGTAGAGGTAGCGGTGGTGGGAGCAGCAGTCTTCGTAGAGGTAGCGGTGGTGGGAGCAGCAGTCGTTGTCGAGGTAGCGGTGGTGTGAGCAGCAGTCGTTGTAGAGATAGCGGTAGTGGGAGCAGCAGTCATCGTAGAGATAGCGGTAGTGGGAGCAGCAGTCGTCGTAGAGATAGCAGTGGTGGGAGCAGCAGTCGTCGTAGAGGTAGCGGTGGTGGGAGCAGCAGTCGTTGTAGAGATAGCGGTGGTGGGAGCAGCAGTCGTTGTAGAGATAGCGGTGGTGGGAGCAGCAGTCGTTGTAGAGATAGCGGTGGTGGGAGCAGCAGTTGTCGCAGTCGTCATCGAGGTAGCGATGGTGGGAGTAGTAGTCGTCGTAGAGGTAGTAGCAAGTAGTAGTTCTAGAATTGCGCTACTCAAGGTGGCTGCATGTTGGAGCAGCTCTGTTACTTTCATTCTGAAATTTTGCTTTTGGAAACTTTAATTCCTCTTTTTCTGGATGTAAATCACCTTTTTTGGTTGATTGTTTCCTCTGGTATCGGATGCTGTGAAGCTGGAAGGATTTTTACTGAAACTTTTTTAGTTTTGGATATTTATTATGATGCGTAACCATGGCAACAAGGCAGTTTATCTACAACCAACAGCAGCTGATTAACATCTCAAAAGCTCAAATAATATCTCAACTACAGCCCCAATTCTCAAATGAGTTGAAAAGGATGTTCTGTGGATGCATTCTCATCTATCTGCCAGCTGTGCTCGAGTGCCTGACCACTGAAATACTGGAACTAGCAGGAAACATGGCTCATGACAGCAGAAGGACAGGATCGTCCCTCCGCACCTACAGTTGGCTGTCCGCAGCGACAAGGAGCTCGGCAGACTGCTGGGAGGAGTGACCATTGCTCTGGGAGGAGTTCTGCCCAGCATTCGGGCGGTCCTACAGCCTGGGGAAACTGAGAGGCCAGCCGAGTCTGGGTGGACAGATCGGACGGCATCTGCAGCCAGTTTCTTAGGATCCACTGTAGGATGGACCTTTACAAGAGATCCTTCCTGCCTACATCCATCAGTGTCTATAACGTCTCTTAATGAAATGAGGATAATGAGTTACAACAACAAATAATTTCCCTTTGGGATAAATAAAGTATTTATGAATTGAACGTCGTCGTCGTCGTCGACGGCCAAACAAACCTGACAGGGTTATGTTTTCAACCACCCATATTTGAAACATCAATCAGTTCACTGAATCAGCCCATTTTTTACATAATATTTTGTTGCTGCTGCGGTCCTTATTATCATGAAGCTGCTGACTGGACCTGCTAACAAGACTACGCCGCTAACAGAACCATGATGTTGAAAAAACCTCACTGCTAACGAATCACACTGTAGATGTATTTCTTTTTCACCTTTGACGTCTTGTATTTTAGTAGGGTTTTTTATATCTTTTCCGTAGTAGTATTTTTAACATGTTTTTCTTAGTATTGTTAGTAGTATTTTTAATGTTTTTCTTAGTATGTTAGAAGTATTTTTTAAAATGTTTTTCTTAGTATGTTAGTAGTATTTTTAATATGCTTTTCTTAGTATTTTAGTAGTGTTT